TATATATATATATATATATATATATACTTTACTGCAATCATGCAATTCACGCAGGAGTGGGATGGATATGCCGTCCGTAAGTGGATGATTGAGAATGTAGACGTTGTGGGATACATCTCTGGCTTCTATCTCACCTTTGTCTTTCTCGGTCCACGTGTATTTGCCAAACTCACTGGCAGTGATACTAATAAAGCTAATAATAATAATAATAATAATAATAATAATAATAATAATAATAATAATAATAATAATGTGAGAAGTGAAGATGGAAGTGGATCGCCTATGGTTCGCCGGGCCATGGTGGTATGGAATTTAAGTCTTTCCATCTTTTCCATCTTTGGCACCAGTACCGTCACTCCCACACTTATTCGTAATCTTCTCAATAAAGGTTTCTACAGTGCGACCTGTGAATTTCGCGAGGAGGAATTCTACACCACCAGTGTGGGTTTCTGGATGGGTATCTTTGCCCTTTCCAAGATCCCGGAATTAATGGATACCATCTTCCTTGTTTTGCAGGGAAAACAGAAATTACCCTTTCTTCACTGGTATCATCACGTTACGGTGTTACTCTTCTCTTGGCATACATATTGTGTGGGAAGTTCTGCGTATATTTGGGTTGCCGCGATGAATTACAGTGTTCATTCCATTATGTATTTATACTTTGCCTTGGCAGCGATGGGGTATAAACGGATGGTTCGTCCATTGGCGCCGTATATTACACTTATGCAGATCTCACAAATGGTGATGGGTTGTTTTGTGACGATGTATGCAATGAAGGAAACTCATGATGGACGTGGATGTGGAATGACGTGGTCTAATATGCGGATTCAATTATTAATGTATGCAAGTTATTTATATTTGTTTTCAGAGATGTTTGTGAAGGCACATGTGTTTCCACCGAAACGACCTGCTATCGCTACAAATGGATCTACAAAGAAGACAGCGTAAATATATATATATATATATATATATATATATATATGATTTTTGTATTAATAATTAAATAAAGGGATACGTATATGCAAAGAGAGAGAGAGAGAGAAAACAAGAAATAAAATAAATGAAAATGAGTAGAATGAGAGAGAGAAGAAGAAAAAAGAAGAAGAATTGAAAAAGTCTCGCGAACGTGGGGTTTTTTTGAGGGGTCATTGGTGAGAAGTACGTTTTTTTTTTTTTTTTTTT